TGAAACCCAGCAATATGGCTGGAATAGATTTTGGTATTCTCGTAATTTATTAGCTTTGTAACTACTAATAATTAAAATTTAACAATACTCCAAGCACCATAGCAACATTTTTTTAGAAACGCTAGCCAAATCTGCTAGGATAACCGACTAGGTCATTTACAGGACTTTAAAGGACTAACACTAAGAAAAAAAAAAAGAAAAAAAGGAAAGATAGATAACAGACTTTTAAGAGCATACTAACGACCAAAATGCAAAGATGTGAACTCCCTTTAAAATAAAAATCTATTTTACTTGTGGAAAATTAATTCTACACATGGTTATGTGGGTGTTCCATATGAAACATAGGAAGGGCTTGTGGTTTGTTTTCAGCAAGAAGCTCCTGGTGTTTAATGGCTAAGTCACACATAAGTTCTGAAATACAGCAAAAGTTACATTAAGTGAAAGTACTGCCTTGAGAGAGAGTCACAGTTCAGGTCCCATTTGTCCTGCCATCCACACACTCCCCCAGGGAAAAATATTTTCTGCAACTTCATCAAAATACCACAGATCTGCTTTTCTCTCACTGACTGTATGGACACTGGAGCCCCGAAGCACTAAGATATTTCAGACTGTCACAAGCACGCAGGGATGTTTAGAAGAAAAATTCTACTCCTATTTCAGTAAGCTTGCTTGTACCTCCAGAAAGTAGGTAAAGCCCATCTTTCAAGTAGCAACTAGAGACATTAACGACTAAAAGATTTGGAATAGCTGGCTAGAGGACTGAAATTGCTTAAGTCTTTCTTCAGCGCTCGACCATCGGTGGTAACCTGAGCCCTCAGGTGCAGCCCTGCAGACCAGTCTGGATGCAGGTGGGTCAGTACAAGCCAAGGGGCTCTTGTCCTCCCCATGTGCTTCAGGGGACACTCTGGTACCCAAACAGCCCCACGGATCACTGGCACAAGCTGCTGGAGATGCTGCTCCTCACGGCCCCACTCCCTGGGAAGGATGGGCACAGAACAGCACTAACATCCTCCTTCAGGCCACATCTGACTGTGCGGTGGCTCGCTCTCATGTCCCCCTTGCTGGGGGCAGGATGCAGCCCACTATAGAAGACATATCTAACACCGAGCTGACATTAAAAGCAGAATTAAAAAAAGAAAACCTGCTTAGGGCTTGATCTGCTGTAATCAGCAGAAAGAATCCCAGGAACTTTGATGTGGACCAAATCAAGCCCCTGGAGGACATTCATGGTAAATCATTATTAATATAATGAGTGCAATTTCTGTACAGCAAGCTTGTGCCTGTTTATGGATACATGAAAACTGCCAGCTTTTCACATAAAATAAAATGAGGAGGGAGACAGACCACAGTGTTAGCCAATGAGCCATAGTAGCCACTCTCTTTTCGCTATGTGTTCATTTAAAGAAACTGGGCACTTAAAATAACAGCGCATTCCTCCGGTGAAGCTCTCTTAATTTAGTGGTTTGACATATCTCCAAATCTGAACAGAAAAGAAAGCCCTTTATTCATAGCAGGCAATAAAACTCCTGAACACCTGTGCTAGGAAAGACCTGGCAGGTACTCTGCTCCCTTGGTACGTGGATTATTTGCGCATTGTTTATTATATCCCTTGCTTTAGTTTTCATCAATTGTAATCATTTAGGAGGAAATGGTATGACTAACAGTACACAAGCAAACCACAGGAATTAATCCTTTAAATACAAATATTTCATTGGTTATGTGATGGCTCCTTGGAAAAAGCAGTGTGGCAAAAGAGTACCTATGAAAATCCTCCTTAAGTATTCTCTGAAAATCACTGCTCAGTCACAATTTGCTCAACACAATTCGCAATGCAAGCCATTGATAAGGTACCTTTCCCTGCTATGAATCACACCACAGATACAACTCCCAGCATCCATGGTTTCTGACCCATCTTTGGTGCTGGCAGGGCTTGCTGCTACATTTTAAAAAGTAAAGACCAAAATTTCAGTTGTCAAGAAGCTGGCTCATCTCCCACGTCTGACTGCCCTGTGGCTGCAGCTGCCTGGAGAAGCGGGCGTGCCTGACCCAGCGCTGGAGCGGGGCTCTGGTTGAAAGGGCTCTGTCTGCCCCACGCATGAAGAACTCCCAGACCCTTACCTCTAGACTTGTTTCAGTAAGCGTGTTTCAGCAGGGGGAATAAAATGCCATTGCCTTGGTGGTCTACACGTTAGCTATAACTTTACTTTTTTCCAGGCGATTTTCATCACATTCGTAGCCGCCAATCTTACAAACTGAGGATGTGAAAAACACGGAGCTGCCAGCCTTTCCTCTTCTGCCCTAAGGGTACGTGGGGTTATCACACCTACTGTTTCCTTTGTGTTTCATACCTAACCTTACCATGTTTTCTTTCCTTGTTTCCAAAGAGATAGTGTAAGCAGTTAAATAACATTGTTTTCTTCTGGCAATATCATCAAGGTAACTCCAGATTCACACCAGAATTTTCACTGTTTATAAAATAAGCTCAGCTCCTTGGAGTTTCTTAAGCCTTGGTTTCATGGCTCCATCAGACAGTGTAAACTAGAAAGCATAAACCTACATTAAAATACAGCTACTAGTTCAGAGGTGGGAAGAGGATTTGACTGCTTCCAGAGAACTACGCTGCTGAAACAGTATTTGCACCAACCACTGAAAGTACGTTTACAGCGGTAGCGCTTCTCTTCACAAGGCACATGGGCACTTCCAGGCTTAGCTGGTGTTTACTCTGTTTACAGAGATGTTCACAAGTCAGCAGGGCTAATTCATGCCACTCCATGACGTCTCCAAAAGTTACCTGTTCCCTGTGCTGCCTGTCATTTTCCCCACTGCCCTTGTTTTTCTTGCTTTTCTGTAAGCATCACACTCTGAATTTCTTCTTATAATAGTTGAATGTTCAACTTTTTTTAAAAAATATTTTCAGTGGTTTCACTTAAAAATACAGAGAATTAAAATAAAACATAACTTCAGATTTTGACACTAGTTATTTTATGCCATTGGGGAAAGCAAGATCAGAACTGAAAAGTCAAATTCATCAAGCAAAACCCCTTGATGGATGATGATTTGCCCACACATGAACAATTGCACAGCTAAGAGACTGAAAGGTTCATGCAGATTTAACCCTAACTAGAAGCTGAACAAATCATTCACCAATATAACACTAAATCTTCATTACTCTACAAAAATATACAGAGCAGCTGAGGAATTTAGAGCAAGCAGTTTACACATCAGAAACGGATGAGATAACCGTGCCAAGGCAGACAGGTTCAAAAGTTTTGTGCATTTCTAACTGATTCATACACACATTTTGTGTCCTCCTTGCCTCAGGTATTTGGATAGGAAAATCCCTGGCATCAAGTAAACACACATTTCTGAGTCACTGCTGAAATAAAGACTAAAATTGGGCAGCGAAGTGTCGAATTTTCATTCAGCCAACACCATTCAAAACTACTTGTGTAATTACTATAAGCACAAAAATTTGAAGTGCACACAAATCGTGCATAAAACCTGGAAAATTACAATCATAATTTATCTGATTAAAGCTGCTATTTGCAGCAATTTTGCAATGCACAACACTTCAGAATTGAAAAAACTATGTGATTAAAGTGGTTAATTGCAATAAAACGGGCTACTGTTAAGACTATAATTTAATAAGGTTCTCTTTATTTGACCACTCGATTTTAAAGGTTAATGCAGTGACCTAGGAAGCCAGTGTGCCCGTTTTAATTGTGCTGGCTTGGTGACCAAATGCCACTTTAAAGGAAAAACGGGAGGAAAATTCAGAGCCAGCTTTGCAAGCTACTGTTGCCTTCATAAAACGTTCATAGTAAGAGCACGCAAACCCAAAAATCTGCTGACTTTATTAAAATATTAACAAGGTATAGTTAAAACTTTTGTACACTTATGCAAATCAGGTTGCTAGAACAAGGGAAAAAAGAGATTCCCCCGGGAGAGAAAAATAAAATAAAATCAACAAAGTGAAAAGATCAACCGTCCTTCCACAGCATGACAGCACGACACAAGAGGCAGCAGCTTGGGAATTCAGCAAGATAAATAAAAACTCTCCAAAGTTTAAGTAAATCATGGTTTATAAAGCTAACAGCAGCATTCTATAAAAAGACCGCATTTGCCAGGGGATGGCAGCCGTACCGCAGTGCCGTGCCAGGCAGGCAGGGTGCCAGGGCGGGCACCTCCCTGTGGGCTCTGGGGAAGGGCGAGCGCCGGGGCTGTTCCCCAGGAGGTGTTGAGCACACACGCCACGGAGGCTTCAGCATCTATGTGGCTTTAGGACCAGAGGTATCAGATTTAAACCCCAGCCTCACCAGCACAGCTCCGAAGTAGCCCCCAAAAGCAGCTGCAGCAGCATGCCCAGGTCAGGGTCCAGCCCCTCCGAAAGGGCTGCTGCACGCGGCAACGGGCGTGGGCCAACCTCTGGCTTTATGGAGGCTAAAATTGCTGTGGCCGTGGCCCCCCGTGCTGCCAGGGAAACTGGCACGTAATGCCTGGTCTATTCAACCTGCAGCTTCTTAATGTGCTAGTGCCTTGGTGAAGCTTCTAACTGAGCTTCTAATTGAGCTGCACCCACACTTTGCTCCCACATCTCGGCAGGAACATTCCTTTAGTTCCGACTTAACAGTGAGGAAGGGAGGGGGCAGCTACCATTTGCTTAGTCTTTGTATGTTAATCAGTGCCTAAATTATTAATGGAGAAAAAGAAATTATTTACAAGGTGTTTGACGTAGACATGTCAGGATGTAGCAACACTGCTGTCAAGAGAAATACTCATAAAGAATTACGATATCTGTCTTGTCTTATTTATTTATTCCAGCCATGCTCAGAGACTCGTCTCTCCTGATAGCACCCAGGGAGGCAAGAGGAGACCGAGAGACTGTTCCAGGGCAGAAGAGATGGTATCAAGGGTACACACCTTTTCTAAATGCTGCACGAGGGTGGCAGTTGCACAGAGAAACCAACAGCTTTAAGCTTTTACTCCTGTTGTAAACATACCTGAAGCTCTGTTTGAAAGAAGAACTTCTGTGGACACTGGGAACAGTCATAAATTTTATCTTCCTGCCCATGGACTGCAAAGATGTGCTGCTGCAGTTTGTTTGCCTGTACAAAAACTGAAACAACACAGTACGATTAGTTAAGATTGCTTCGTATAAGGCATCTCACCTGGAACTACACTTTTATGATTGCAAAGACTCTGAAAAGTCCAAGGATATCTGCCAGAGAAGTGCGATACACTCGGTTCAATCCTTACAAGTAGTCAATTTAGAGTCTCCAGGCTGACAGCCAGCTTACTTGTAACAGGCTCTAAATCCTGTACGGATTTTTGATATTTCACATAAAGCTAACACTGTCCACGGGTAACTGGAAGAACTCAATCATCAGAATAGAGAAGACGTCACTGCTCCTGCGGGGAGCCCTGGGCCCACGGCAGGTGCATCGAATGCATTTTTAATGCAGGACAACTGGGCCAGGAGAAGCCTTGATGGCTGGTCTGGAAAACACGTGGCCCAGAACAGCATTTCTGGCAGACATGTGAATCTAAAAGGCCAGACTTGTCACAATTTTTAGACCTTTTAAATGGGTTGTCCATTCAGTATTAAAAAAAAAATAATTATGATTTAACATCACAAATGTCACAGCATCTGCATTCTGATTTTGAATCAACAATTATTCCGACTTTATCTAGTGAAATTTGGAAGTGAAACACACTGAAGTGCAGGCTTCAGCTGGTTAAAAATATATCCCATTTATTTTTTGTCTGTTTTATATGAATGATCATCAGTATGTGAAAATAGTTTCTTCAGTGGAGTTAAACACATGCACTCAAAAGAGCTATTTTTATGGCACTACTCAGGAAAGGATAAATTAATTCCAGGCTCACACAAAAAGCAGGTTCTCGAATTGTGTGCCAACCCTCAGGAGTGTGGGTTCACCTGACTCCCACTGAAGTTAAAGGCACCTCAGGTGCTGCCATGAGCCTCTACTGACAACAAGTTCACAGCTCCACCTACGCCATCCTCATCTCTCAAGCAGTTTGGAAATGCAGATGTTAACTACTGTTTTGAAGGGAGTATAAAAGGCAGCCTTTAACATGCAGAGCCCTTAAAAGCCAGATCACCAAAGACCATTTGCACTGCTGAGACAGCTTAAAAGCTGGGAAGGCACCTCAGACATGAGTTAGAAATGTGCCACCAGGAGAAAAATGGCCTTAAAGTAACCTAGGAGAAAGCACCTGGCAAAACTCTACAATTTGGTCTCAAGAAACTTCAATCACATGAGCCTGGCCACCATGAGTGGACTACGAGCTACCTTTTAGCAACTGCTAACAAGTTCTAACTTCTAATGTCTAACAACTTCTAACAAGTTCTAACTTCTAAATTCCAACTTCTAACCTCTTCTAACTGCTACTAAGTTTTAACAATTTCTAGCAACTTCTAAGTTCTTAATTCAAACTTCTAACTTCTAATAACTAATTTCTAACAACCTCTCACAACTTCTAACAACTTTGAATTTCTATCCTCTCACAACTTCTAAATTCTAACTACTTCTAACTTCTAACAACTGCTACCTTCTAACAACTTCTAATTTCTACAATGTCTAATTACTAACAACTTCTAACTTCTAATTAACTTCAAACTTTTAGATTCTAACTTCTAACTTATAACAACCTCGAACTTGTAAGAACCTCAAACTTCTAAATTTAACTTCTCACTTCTAACTTCTAAATTCTAACTTTTACCTTCTAACAACTTCTACCTTCTAACAACTAACTTCTCACTTCTAACTTCTCACAACTCCTAATTTCTAACAACCTTCTAACTCTACCTTCTAACAACTAACTTCTCACTTCTAACTTCTCACAACTCCTAATTTCTAACAACTCCTAATTTCTAACAACTCCTAATTTCTAACAACTTCTAGTTTCTAACTTTTAACTTCTGTTCTAGTGGACACCACGATGACCATGAGCC